AGTACTACTACTCTCTCTCTCTCTCTCTCTCTCTCTCTCTCTCTCTCTCTCTCTCTCTCTTTTTCTCTCTCGCATTCACCACGGATGGCTAAAATGACAAAAACTCATGGCCTGAAACCTACATATTCATTTTTGTCAAATACAAAATGGTCGCAAAATCTATCTATCCCTTTTCATTCTAAAAAAAAGAAGAAGTAATCTGTCTATCCCTTTATCTTTGTAATGGTTTTTATTTTGCTTGATTGCAGCATCTATGGCCAGGAAAATTTACCTTAGGCAAGGTATTGGCGTGGGGGGCTTTCAGAAGATCTATGGTGGCCGCAAGAGGAACGGAAGCTGCCCTCCCCACTTTTGCAAGAGCAGTGGAGCTGTGGCTCGTCACATTCTCCAACAGTTGGAGAAGGTGAAGATTATCGAGTTTGATCCCAAGGGGTAAGAGTACTAAGTACTTTTCTTTTTCTTGACTGATTTGAATTTTTCTTGTTCTTTACTGATTTGAATTTTTCTTCTGTTGGGGTAGATGCCATGTTCATCTGATTTTTGCGGACATTGCATCGCTTATCAGTGAGCTTAGGATCACATAAAAATTGATGCTCTCTTTCTGGGATGGTGTGATGTTTTACATGGAGCTGGATATAATACCCCATTTTTTTGGATTCCAAGTTTGAATATCACTGGTGAAATGCCAAAAAACTAGATACCTCAGTCAAATTGATGTTAGTATCACACTTTAAGGTCTAGAATTACAATCAAGTTGATGCGCTTGCTAGCGGTGTGCTCTTTTTCATGGAACTGGCAAAGCATTCCTATCAAATATGGAATATCATTGCTAAACTACCCAAAATAAACTACCTCATTCAAATTGATATTTTTTGGGTGAATAATCAAATTGATCTCAGAATACATCCCTGAGATTATTAGAATCACAGTCTAATTGATGCTCTCTATCTCTCTCTGTCTCTCCCCCTCTCTCTAAGATGGCTAAAATTTTTCTATGTTTTCATGGAAATGGCAAAAATGCATCAGATTTGCATTCCAAGTTCTAAAACCACTGCCACTGCTGAACTACCGAGAAACAAAAGGGTTGCATACCATTAGAATTTTGCAGCTTTGCTTTTGATACAAGTTACCTATCCTTCTTAACTGTCAGATGTGAATTTGATAGTTAGGTGTGCCGTCACTTGTCATTACAATGTCCGAGAAAAATCACAGTGAAATTGATACTCTCTCTCTCTCTCTCTGAGTTAGAGTACCACTTTTAGAAAATCCAAAACCAACAAAGTAACCCTTTTTTTTCTTCACAAAGATGATTTCTTCTCAACTGGGGAAAGCAATAGCTTCTTATTCAGCGGCAAATACGCAAATAGAAAAATCTCGGATTCCTTTTTTTTATTTTTTTTTTCTGTGGGCAAATTATACCCAAGAAAATTTGCTTTACTGGCCCTCTTTCCCCTTCTCTCTCTTTCTCTCTCTTCCAAACAACCCCCCCCCCCCCCCTCCCAAAAAAAAACACCCACATTAAACCTTTTCAAATTTTCGCCTAGGAGTTCGATTTTTTCTGGTTTTATATCCCTGGTGCACTTCAGAGAGAAAGAGGCCAGTTTGTTCGAAATAAGTAGGGATTAGTGATAAGAACAGAATCGAGAGATGCCTGCGATTTTATATTCCAATGAGTAATGCTTTAAACTAGTGTTTTGGTTGCTGTTTAGTGACTTAGATATTTATGTGTGTGTGTGAGAGAGAACTGCTTCGATCCGTTTTATGTCCAGTCATGTTTTGAAACTGGTGTTTTGATTTATGTACAGTGGAAGGAGGATCACCTCAAGTGGCCAAAGGGATCTTGATCAGGTAGCAGGGAGGATTGCGGTTGTCGCTCCTTGAATTAGCAGCGACTTTTTGTTTGTTCTCTTATGTTTGGAGTTCCAACTGAATTTTGTAGGATTTTTTCAAAACTAAGAAAACAGAGACCTTGGAGAGATTTAAAAAGTTTTAGTTTACTGTCTTTGCTTATGTGCTATTGGATCAGTTTTTGGATTTAGTAATTTTTTTTTGTGAATGCTTATGTGAAAAAGCGCAGATTCTGGTATATTGATGATTCTGTCAAATGTTAAACACTGCTGTTCACCATGCTGTCCGACTTGGAAATGGCTGAGCCGGATTGGAACCAGGGTGTTGGCAATTCCATATGTAAAATCCACATAATTCCTCTGCTCTCCCTGGTTTTTAGATTCTTTTGAGAAAGTTCTCTGCAACTGTGGCCTGGATGGACACAGGGACTGGCTGTTTCAGACTCGAACAATTGGAATTGAATGCTTGCGATGAGTTTTGATTTTTTAAACACTGTTATTTACTGTTTACCGTTCATCTGGATTGCTTATTTTATGAAGTATTGCAAGTGCTTGAAAACGCCCTCTTCCTTGTTTCTCTCATGCCTTACCCACTTGTTTGTCTGTCTGCCCCTGCCCCTACCCCTACCCCTGCCCCTACCCCTACCCCCTGCCCCCTGCCCCTGCCCCTGCCCCTGCCCCTGCCCCTGCCCCTGCCCCTGCCCCTGCCCCTGCCCCTGCCCCTGCCCCTGCCCCTGCTCTTCTGTCTAATCGTTAGCTATTCTCCCTCCCTCTTACTAATCCATAGCTTCTCTCACTCTGTAAGTGTTTTAAAAATCGCTGGGCGGCACACTTTCAAAATTTATCATGGTATATAATTTTGATGTAAAATGTTTTTAGGATTATTTCAAAATCTATTTTTATATCTAATTATAAAATTTTATATTTAAAAAATAGTTAAAATCAAGTAAATCTGTAAACATTTAAAATTTTTGAAATTGGACGGTATAGATAATATATTGTAAAATGTATTATTTGTGAGAGTTAATTTTTTATTTATTTTTAGTAGTCATACATCTCGATGTTAAGATGATCAATCAAAGGGTTTTTCAACATTAAAACTACCTTATTCGATGGATTTTTGAGAAGCATCCGAGGTAGCATCCTTATATAAACTTTTTCCTTTATCCTTTATCAGTCATCGGGTTGAGTTGGCTGCATCCTTAATGGTTGGGTTTCCAAAAGTTAACTTCTCCTTCCTTAGGTTTTGCCCTAGGGAGTTCCTTTGGAAGCATATAATCAATTTTTTGAAATAAGTTTCCCGCCTATCCATGTCTACAATGTAAGACAAACTATCTTTTCAAGAATTGTACTTCATAAGGCAAATTCAAGAATTGTACTTCATAAGGCAAATGGTTTGATAGGGCTGTAGCCCTATCAAAAATTGCAATTCAAGCATTGGAAAACGTTTATATACTTGAACATTACAGTTATGAAAAAGAATTAAGAGTTCAACTCTATAAATAGTATATATTGTAATAAATTATCTGGACCGTCTATTTTCTCTTGAAAATATGTGTTCATGTTATGTATCCACAAGATCGAGTTTCAAATTTTTTTTCGGTGTTGAAAATTGATTTTGTCATGAAGATTTCTGTTGCTAAAAGTGCTTTTTGGGCAAGTATTTGAGATGAGGCTTTATTTTGTTCTCATAAAGCTTGGGCCTCAAAGAAACTTCAACCGCTTCATAAAACCCTAAAGTATTTCTTGTATGCCTCCAAGTAGAGAGTAAGCGCAGCTATCAACATTGGACCAACACATTGGCAATACTTGTGTGCCTTACCAAAGGCGAAAAATTGGGCAAGGTCGAAATTGTTCAAAATAGAAAGTATAAACAATTTTGGCTAGTTGAACTCGTCACTTTTCACCTGACACTAGTTAAATAAGGCAGGACGTACTCGTTTTTGTTATTATTTCATATTTTTTCAACTATCAATAGATTCAATATTATTGTTTTATGAATATGCTCCAACTGATGGTTGCGCTGGTTTTGGTTGGCAAACCTTAATCGGTTTAAAATGGCTATCCCAATTCTCACAACAATGTCTCTAAGTGCCAGAACATCAGTAGAGTTCCTTGCTTAATGGAAAAACATTGTTAATTGATCAAGATTTCAATTGTTTGATAAGCCTAGAAGTAGATCAAATTGAACACTCTCAAACAGGGTTTAAGTTACCAAAGCAACTCAAGCAAACAACAAAAATGGCACCAAGTTTATATTGAAGTTAAAATAGAGTAATAGCATTGAAAAGTTAATTTCCTAAATAATTTTCTAAGGAATCACTATATTCCATATCTGTAGACTAGTCAGAATGACCTTGGCTTTCCCTTGATGGGATCAGTCACACTTGCATTTAGAAACAACATTAGTGATTAAAAAGCTGCTGACTCAATCTTGGACCCACTAGAAATTGGGCCTAGCAGGGTGCTGGGTCCATTGACTTGGGCTTGGGATCATTGACACTCAAAGCTCGAATAGGGGTTTTTAAACACTGAGCAAAACGATCCATCTTCGATGAGGGATCAAGTCACTCACAAAGACAGTACTGAAACTAAGCTTTTAACTTCCCATGAGTAGTTTGCACCACCAAGTCTTCTTGGTACATTATTTGATATCTTTTCCAACTGGCTTCTTAAAAAAAGAGTGTGATCTCAAGTGAAATTTAAGGATGACATCAACTGAAGTTAAACATCTTGCTTTCTTTTGATATCTATATTACTCTGGGAGAATAAATAGGAGTTTAGTTTTGTAAAAGTTGATATTGCTTAAATGTGTTAGAAAGAACGAGTAGTATACCATTTACAAGGTAGTGTACATTCCCAAACCAAAATGAGGCTGTTATATGTCCATAAATTTTATATGAAGGAACATTCCCCTCATGAAAAAATTTCCTTTTAAGGTTCCCAACAAAACTATTAACAACCACAACTGATGGTTATGTACATATATATTTCAATGTACAAGATCATTATCATTGTCATCCAAGCCTTATCCCAATTATTTGGGACCGGCTATATGAATCATGTTCCTCCATTCTTCTCTATCAAGAGCCATATTCCAATGTACAATATGATAATCTTCAACAAAAGTTAAATTTTCTTCAAGGTTTTGCAAAAAGCAGTCCATAAGTGAAAGATTACACGTGACATTCCTTAGTTTTGAGTACTTTAAATTGCAAACAAGGGGGAGGGAAAGAAAGATATCTGGTTATATTTATCCCATCCCTGTTGTTAGGTGCCACACAGATTGATTTCTTCCTAAGACAAGCAATTAAAGCTACCAAAAGATCAGTATTGAATTCCTTCAAGGGGGGGGGGGGGGGCTTTTTTTCTGACAAAAACAAGAAAAAGTGAAGCTCACACATTGCTATGAAACACCCACCTCTCTATTAGACTAAGCCAGTATATTCAGCAATGATAGAAATTGTTTGATTGATTCAAAAATAATTTTGCAGAACCTGTATATGGAGGAATCGGGAAGAGATTGAACTGATTCTTTTTTTATGCCAATTCAGATTGGTGAATGAGTCAAATTCCTTTATGTTGAATTGGTATATTATAAATCAAGTAAATCTAATTTTGATGAGTCAAGATTATGATGTTTTCCTTGTTATACAGGGAACGCTTAAATAGATAAACATGCGCTATCCTACTCTTAAAAATCACATTAGCCAGTTTACAAAAGTCACTCCAAATGGGAAAAAAATGTCAGAGTCAACTTGACTCATTAAGTGTGTGATTTTATAAATGAAAAATCTTGGGATGTCCCTTTGTTTTGGGTCGTATAAAAACTTCATTGTTATTTTGTGATATAAACTAATAAAATTGTTTCCTAATGTGGAAGGATAGTGGTATGACATGGTACCAGGCTGGGTTCAACCTCATTATAAAAATATTGAGTCATGTTTATCTTTATGTTGTTCACCCAATAAGTTTGAAAAACTCACCATGTCTTTTGGATTTGACTGTTCAACTCTGTTTTGGCAATGGTTGAGTTCACCACTGAGTTTAAGTTTTTTTTAACACTGACATCAGCCTAGAGTGAATGAGAACATTCTATATTTTATCAAAGGATCTCTGTCTCTATCTTTGGTTCAAGCTTCTAGGCATGAATCACCTGGTAGTGAGTCTCTAGAACCTGGCATGAATGCCAATTCTAGATGTTTGGGGGCTTCAACTAGTAACTATTTTCATTAGTCCAATTGACTCAGTCCTCCAAATCTTCTCCCAATAGCTAGTGGAATTGCCCATGGTATTATTTCATGATAAAGCATATGTGGCTCACCTTGGTTTAACTAGGATAAGTATTGGGCAATTTTTGGAGATAGTTATGCTTAGATTCATCTAAGTCCAAACGTTTTGAGGAACAAGCTTTCTTTTGCAAAATACAATACTCCTTTGCTTTTGTGTAGGTAAACACAATACTTCTCTGCTTTTGTCTAGGTAAACATAATACTACCCTTTCTCCTTATAGAATCGAGATATCTCAGGTGCAGGTCCATATGTTCCTAATTAAGATATAGGGGAAACTTTTCTCGTGGACCGGGGTATCTTTTACAAGAGACAATACTCTGTTTTGGCTGAGAGAGAACAGTACCACTATTTATCCTCGAACTATCAAGAATTGATGGTGCATGTCCATATGTTCCTAATTAAGATACATGTATAACCTTTTTTTGTCTTCTAACTACTCTTGCTCCTCAAAGTAACAAGAAATTATAAGTGCATGCCCATTTTTCCCTAATTAAGATATACGTGTAACCTCTTTCAAGGAACATGCTATCTTTTACAAAACACAATACCACTTTTCTATCGGCTTAGCAAACACAATACTATTCTTTCTCCTCATATTGAGAAACAAAGGTGCATGCCCATATGTTCGTAACTAAGATATGATTGTGGTCTTTTTCAAGGAATAGGCCACTTTTTAAAGACTGTTCTTTTGGTTAAGCAACACAATACTCCTCTTTTTCCTCAATGTATCGAGAAATTGCATGTGTGTGTCCATGTGTGCTAATTATGAAAAAAACATAATCTTTTTTAGGGAGTTAAGGGGTGCTCCCAAAAGCATTGTTTCATCCCAAAGATTTTGACTGCCACTTATTTGGTGATGGCCTCTAACGACTACTTTCTCCTAGCAAACCTCGGCCCTAACTTTGATTCAACTACTTCACTCGTCAAATTTGTGAACCACTTGAAGGCAATAAGAAACTGCAAACCTAGGGTCAGTAATTTCTCTTCCATTGCAAAAAAATGGGAAGGATAATTCGTCTTTCTCGGTGGCTGCATTCTTCTTTCTAACCATTTTTGCTGTCAGGAAATGGACGACTTTCATTTACAAAACACGTTATTATTCTTCCTTGTATTAAGTAAACACAACACTACCCTTTCTCCTCAAAGTATCAAGAAATCACAAGTAATCAGAAATTAGCTAAGGGGAAATGGGAGTAATCTTTTTTAAGGAACAAACTGCCTTTTACAAGTCACAAACTCACAATGCTGTTCTTTTGGCTTAGTAAAACTGTACTACTATTTATCCTCAAGGAATTGTGAAATCGCAGGTCCATGTCCATTACCTTCCTAATTAAGATTCAAGAGTGTAAGATGATTTCATTCAGGGTAAGACCTCTACAGTGGTGCAAGCTATACACATGGGGATATTTGAACCTAATTTGATGTTGTTTTTTTGGATGATTCAGGTATTCAGGGTCTCATTTGCAATGTAGGAGCTCATGGATTCTTCAGGTTGCTTGTAACAGTTCTTCCACTGGTTATGAGTCTGACTGTTCAGTGGACCACTTTGATAGAAGGTGAATTCACATTGACCTTGGAGAACATATGTTATTCTTTAGTTCTTCAGGGCTTTTTCTTTCTTGCTAGATTATTCTATCTCGGCTCTATTTGAAAATTGAGTTTGGTTTTCAAGGCGATGGTTTCACCTTCGAGAACAGATGTTATTCTCTAGTTCTTCATAATTCATTAGCTATATTGTTCTCTTTCAGCTTTATTTGAAATTGAGTTTGGTTTTACGTTTCACAACAAGAAAGATGTCAAGATTCAGTATTCAGTATAGCAAGGACTTGGCAATCTCTAACAAATGCCAAACTGCTATGTTCATTCACATATCATCTCTGGAATATGCGGTTATTACTATGACTTGAGAACTTCATATCAAATGGTACTCGAGAACTCTCATATCAAATGGGGGTTGCTCAGAAAAACCTCAGGAGCTTGTGCACTTAAATCAAATAACTTGTTACTATGACTTAAGAACTCTCATATTAAATCGGAATACCTGTGTTTGAACTGACTCAGAGAGAGAGAGAGAGAGAGAGAGAGAGGAACGGGGGGAGGGTGGGGGGCGACGTAAAGAAACTAACGTTCGGTAGGAAATACCAAGATTATGATTATTTATTATATATATCTGAAAAGACTGAAACAGTCTTTCAAAACAATGCAGATAAATTGCTTAGCATCCAAACTAAAAAATAACACTGAGGAAACAGAGTAAGGAGTAAAAATAATCTTCAGCTGAAGCAACATCATCTCTTTGGTTCAATGCTGGTTCTGATGCTGGTAGATGTTGATGTCATTCCATGACATGCATTTGATCTTCTTATGGTGAGGAATGTGGAATTTTGGCTCTTTGGGAATGGTTGGGTGTTTCAAACCCCTGCATATGACACAAATGTAACCAAGTTCCAATGGCAAGATATCAGGAACATGTGGAGAGAGAGAGAGAGAGAGAGAGAGAGAGAGAGAGAGCAGCTAACACAGTTTCTCTCACCTCTTTGGGATGAAAGGTCGGTCAAAATATGGCATCGGTTGAGCTCGTGGGACCAGTTCCTTCCTCAGTCTTCTAAGCTCTTCTTCCTCAGCTAACTGCCATTCCATTAATCTCCCCATTATTTTATAAAAAGATAAACTCAGAGAGAGAGAGAGAGAGAGAGAGAGAGAGAGAGAGAGAGAGAGAGATTCATGTTCAATCACTTCACCTTCTGGCGCCTCTCCTCCTCCTGTCGGTATTGCTCAATAAAGCTGAGCTTCTCTTGAATCTGTACATTGTCATAGTTCTTAATATTGATTCAATAACTTCATACTTGTACAGAAAAGTGAAAAGAACTCGTAGACATTTTCATTAACATCATACAGAAAAGATAATTTCTAGACACTTTCATTAACATCATACAACAAAGATCATTTCTTTCTTACAAATAACAAAAAAAGAAAAAAAGAAAGGGTTCTTACAGCTTGATCAAACTCTGCTCGTTCAACCGCTCGAATATCACTATGAAGCTTTAAATCAATGGGTCTTGTGCTCTCCTTCACTGGAGGCTTTACTAAACACTGAGATTATATATATAAAAAAATATTAGTGATAACTGTATCATGGTTATTATTTGAAACTATCCCAAATACTCTAAGAAAAAAAAATGAAAAAATTTAAATTTGGGATCTTCCACCTACATTGAGATTATAAAAGCAAAAAAATATATTAATAAAAATTGAGTCATGGTCATATTTGAGCCAACCCCATATGTTTCTATAAGTTATACAATCTTTACAAAAAAAATGGAAAAAATAAAAAAATTTGGGGCCATTCACCTCTGGTTCATCTGTTGTCCATGGAAGGCCTTGGGCAACCGGGATTCGAAGTCTCTCCTCCTCTGAGAACATTTCCTCTACTTTCTTCACAAATTCTTCTTTTTTAACTCTTCCCCTTTGCTGAAGTGAGAGAATTCTTTAGTTTAGTAATTGAGGGAAAGAAACGAATAGAAAACTATGAGTTTCCATAAAGCATGTATCCATCATTAACAGATAGAAACAGAACAACTCATTTTCAAAAAGCCACTCACTGATTTGCTTTACTCTCAATATTTACTCGAGAGAGAAATGCGTGACCAGAATTATATAAACTTTAGAATTGCAGAAAGATAGAGACAGATGGAAAACCAAGGATTTCCACAAGCTATCACATGTTATCATGTTAACAATGGGAAAACAGAGCTACCATTTTTCTAGGAAAAAAAGGAAGCAAAAACGGTTTTCTCATATAACCCACTGATTTTGATTGACGCTTCCTCCTTGCACAGGTGAGAGAAACACATATTGCGAATTCAGAAGAGAAAGACATGGAAAACTTTAAAAAAATTTCCATGGAACAATTCCATGTATCAACATCGTTAGAAATAGTAGATGCAACCAAATTTTCGAAAACAAAATTCTGTTTGTCATATCAAAGCTACTGATTTCTTCCATTCTCCCTCTACGCCAAGCAGATAGAGAAACAAATCATCGAATAATGCAGGAGTGAGAGAAATAAATGAAAAACTATGACTTTCAATTAAATGTTTTATGTACTGTTAAAGTCTTAAAGAGAAAAAGAAACACTGCATTTTCAAAATAATCGAAGCACTTGGTTGGTTTTTCTTTTTCTTTCTTTTCCTTCAAATGTTAACTCAGTATTTCTGATATGTACCTCTGTTCTTAGTTTGAATGGTTGTTGGCTTGTGACTTTCAGCTGCTTTTTCCAGCACTGCCCCACTCCTCTTCCTATTGATTCCATGCTCTGAAAAAATTACACCCAAAAGTAACATTTTAGAGAGAGAGAGAGAGAGAGAGAGAGAGAGAAAGAGATTTTACATTTTTGCGACTCCTTCGCCCTCCACCTGACGTCCTGCTCCCCCAACTTCAGCCCAACAAAAGAAATTCAATGAATTAAATGGAGAGGATTATTTCCATAGATCAAAAGAAGAAACCAGAGTAAGCCAAAAATTATTTGAAACAGCAATTTAAACCAAATATGATATCAATTACCACTAAGCATGAAAGCATCAATTTAATGAACCCATGATCGCACCAATCAGACAAGCATCTCAGAAATAGAGGAAAAAAACAAAAAAGCACAGGAAAAGGCAATTAAATTTGATCATCGAATGGCTCACGACCATCAGAGCCTTAAAAAAAAGAAAAAAAGAAAAAAGTAAAAAAAGAGCTTATAAAATGGAATTCAAATTTCAATTCTACTAAAACAACAATTTTATAGGCAAAAAAATGTAAATTGTAAATGATAAAAAGAGGTCCATGCATAGAGACTAACCTGCAATCACTGCTTGCAATTGAAGAACGAAGGTCCCCATCTGAGACTTTTGAACTGGAAACCTCAGAAGAAGAACATGAAGATGAGAGAGCAAATGAAGAGTGAGAATTAAATGTGGGCTCAGCAACTGGTGGTTGCAAGCCTGGTAATGCCCAGTTCTTGACTTTCAGACCCTCTTCCCATCCATCGTTTTTCTCCATTCCTCTCTCTTCTCGTGGAATTGAGAGCAACCTCTCAAAGGCCTTAACCAAATGCATAACCCTCCCGGACCCTGGCTGTGGTATATTGTTCATGGCTTCCTCAAGCAACTGCCTCCTCAGTTTCTTTGGGGTAGGAGAACCCAGGTTCGAATTCCCATCTTCGACTATCTCCACTGTTATGTTTCTTTGATTAGAAGACCCGACTTCTGGTTCTTCCATAGATTCACCATTTTCGTTTCCTCGCTCTATGGGTTCGATTTTAGCCGCACCACTGGTATTTTCTCTCTCTAGAACCCCAAACTTTGATGGGGTTTCAGGTCTTTCATGGTCAATAAAACCCCCCATGTCCTCTGGTTTTTGAGCTCCTTCCTCATTCAAGCAAATTTTGTCTTTGAAATTTTTGCTCTCGCCATTGAAGAACTCCTCCTGAGAAGCACGGAGACTCTCGTAAGCCATGCATAGGCATTTTCCATCCCCATTCTTTTGACTGCATGTACATGTTACAGCCGAAGAGCCTGGTTTTGAATGCTTCTTAGCAATGATAAACTTTCTCTCTCTAACTCTCCGGACATTAGGTCGATCTGGTTTATTTGTGCTTTCCCTCTTTGATTTGCTTCGGGAACGTGTACTTGCCGGTGTCTCTGGTCTCTTGGACTGAGAATCACCATTCTTCTTTGCAGGAGAGAGATTCGGATCGAAATTTTCAGAGATCCTCTTGCTGGTTCTTGATGGTTGTGGAGAAACAAGAGGATTCTTTGATGAAATCATGATTGAGGGATTAAGATGGTGGAGAGAGAACAAACGATTTGGGAAGGTTATCAAAGGAAATGAAGAGAGAGAAAGCTCTCTATTCCAGTGATTTATGAACAAGAAAGAAGAGATCTGTGCTTGTAAGAAGGTAGAGAACGAAGTAAGATGATTTTGAAAGGTATCTATTAGAACTCAGAACAATGGTAGAGAGAGAAAGAAACGTTTTACAGTGATTTGGAAGGAGGAGAGAGAGAGAAAGCTCCTCTTGATTAGGGAGAAATGGAGGAAGAACGTTGAAGAGAGCGAGAACAGAGCGCTCCGCAACGGCTAGTTTGATTAGTGATTAGGTTTTTTTTTTTTTCTTTTTTGAATTTTAATAGGTTTATAGCCGTTGATTATGATGTGTATTTGATAGACAAAAATGCCTCTTTACCCATTGCGCATTATCTATAAGACCCTGATATTTTTGAAATGACAAAAAAATCCCTGAAGACAGAAAATGACCACTATGCCCTTATAAACACTAGAATTGGCCTCGTTTCCCTCCGTTTGTGTTGAGTCTAGGGAAATTATCTCCCACGTCCTTTTTTTTTTTGGATATTAAGAAATAGTCCTAAAATAGTTTAATTTTACAAAGAGGTCTATCTCTCACCAATTGACATATGTTCGGACCTCTATATAGTCATTATGGTTCTAAAAATTTAGTTGGACCCTTTGAACTGAAAGATTTTATTTTATTTTATTTAGGATTATGCTAGGGTGTCTAGATTATAGAGCATTTTATGACTGTATTAAACAAAATTTAAACACTCATGTACCCTTATTTTGTAATACAATATTTTTTTAGTAATGATATTTTTGGCCATTAAGAAGGATGTAACATCATTTACATGGGATGTAATATGTTTCTCTTGGATGATGTCACACTCCATGTAGATGATGTTCACCTTTTTTAAAGACAAAAAATACCATTACTAAAAAATATTGATATATAAATATCTAAAATTTGTTTGTTACAATATTAAAATAATCATGTGATTGATGTTACATTCCATGTGGATGATGTTACATTCCTCCTAATAACTAAAAATACCTTTACTAAAAAATATTGTATTACAAAATAATAGTATATAAGTATCAAAAATTTGTTTGTTACAATCGTAATGTGCTCTATAGTGTGAGCACCCTTTATTTTATTTTTAAGCTCACTTACTAGTTTGAATTACAAGTCAAGAGTCGAACTACGACATTCTTTTAGAAAAAAAAATATCATTAAGTAGTTTAACCTTTCAATGGTTTAAATACACTCGGTGCTTTTTTTTTTTGTCAAGTCACAGAACACTTGATCTAATAAACTCACTTAGAAGTAGTGTGGCAGGGCCGGGCTAGCCCTGATCCCCATAGGCTAGCTTAGGCCCAGCTTAGCCCTAATAGGGCCACAAGCCTTGGCCCACGCCCTATCGGGCATTTGTTTTTTGGTTTGTATGTTAGGTCCAATCTAGACCTATCCCATATATTTGGCAGCTATCTTAAACCCATTGAAGAAGCTTGTTCCTTTATTGGTAGACTGTTACATTGATCATCTCGTTCTCGAGATTCATAGATATGAAAAGAAAAAAAGGAATTTTGTTCTAACATGTTTCATCTTTTAACATATTATCTGGATCATCCATTTTCAAGATTTTTAAGTAAATAAATTTAATCGACACCAATTTTGAACTTTAAATCTTAGAATTAGTGGTAACAATAGTTTTTCATGGCATTGCCTGGATTTTTGGCACCATCATTGCATCTCTTTGCATAGTTTTGAGGTGCATCTTAATTCAATCAAAAAGTAGTCTATGAGTCGCGGGATGCATTTCTACATTTGCTTCCCCAAGGTATGGCACATGCATCTTTAAGATGGACGTAAAGTTGTAGTCCCACAGCAAATGAAGCTGATTGCAAGGCTGCTTTATAAGGACTGAAGGTAACAAGAAATTTTCGAAAGCCTATTGTTATCGAAGGGGACTCCATGAACATAGTCAAATGGATTAAAGGAGAAGCTGAATATCCATGGATATCACATAGTTCGTGCATTAATAGATTGATGTGAAGGTTTTGAATCTTCTGTAGAGCATGTCTGCAGAGAGTGTAATATGGAGGCTGACGGTCTTGCTATGGGTGTTACGGCTACAAGCTTAACAATTGTACAAAATGGTTGAGAGAATGATCTCGTAATATTTTCTTTTGTTTTTTTGGTTATCTCGTAATTGATGCCAAGTTTACTGTGCAATGATACAACTTCTTTGTGATAAATAAAGTGTTAACTGTTTCTCAAAAAAGAAAGAACGTTGCAATCCCTTCTAAAATAAGAATTAAGTCCAAATTCTATTTAAAAAATTGATCAAATAGAAGTGTTGCATATCTACATGTGAGTCCTAAGACTCGTAGAACCTTAGCCTAATTCAATAGCATAAGAGTGATTGTAACCTCAACACAATAATCGATAACTACATGTTTTCTTGCAGCTTCATCCCTCTCTCACACTACATAGATATCAATACATGCATAGACATGGACCATGGTTTCTAGCTCTCTCGCTTTTTCCCACCCTGCGAGGTGCAAAAGAGATGAACGTCGCTCATTCATCATATATGCCCCTCCCTCAGGTCTCAAGTCTCAACACATTCAATGTCTCTCTAGAAATTCTAGAGACAGAGACACAAGGCTCAAACACAGGGGTTTCCATCGGGATAGTTCTCAAGAACCCCTAGCTTGCGGAAGTGGAAATCCTAAATATCAAGATCCCATCCAATATCGTGTACATGATTAGCTAAATACAAAGTAAATGAATTTAACTATAAATCGAGTATTAAAAATAAATTAAATATAAGAAAAAAGGAAACATAAAAAAACGCACCACCACAATACACGATTTACGTGGTTAACGCTGTAGGGCTACATCTATGTCTCTCTCTTAGAGGATATGTTTCTCTCTCTTGGAGACCTATCTCCATCTTGAAAATCTCTTTCAATAAACTCCAAAGGGATTTACTTCAAAAGGATGATTAATATTATGTATTTTTTGATTTTTTATTTAGATATCACTTTCTTGCTTTTCAAAAAATTCTTTTTTTTACTAACATATATTTAATCTTTAGAAAAAAAAAATGGATATAGTGATATCATCAAACCCAACAATGATAACCAAACCCAAGAATGATCCTCTCTTTTCTCCCTATAGACTCCATATACAAGTTCAGGAGCACATCCAAAGCATGGAACCGACTCGTCTCCTCTCCCTTTTTCGTACACCGACGCTCTGTCTCTCCTCCCCTCTGAATTTCTCATCTTCAATTTGTCGACCAAATGCTGGAAACGATTAGCAGACCTGGAGATATTGTGTCACTTTCCGAGTCCATCTGGTAGAATTCTTCTTCCCCATGCTTCCTGTAGATTGTAAGTTATATAGCCTCTCTCTTGATCATTGGATTTGATTGTTGGAGTGGGATGGCCATGTATATCTTGCTCAAGTCACTGAAGAATGGAGGGCACTGTTGTGGGTTTCGAGTGAAGAGGGAGAATGGATGGGTGTGATAGATCCGGATTTGCAGAAATTGTATATCCATGAACTATATGATCCAAGAATAGTAATTCAGCCTGTGTTTCTAAGGATCTGTTATATTCCCAAACGTTGGGCAAGCTATTTGCTTATGACAAGTGGTAGTGTTCCAAAAGTCTGCCGAGTTACTCTGGCTCCCTAGTTGTGCCATGTTGGAGGTCCAATTTGGGGATCTTAACTCTTTTTTTTTTAAAGATTATCAATTTTTTAAAAAATAAGAAAATATTTGTAACATGTTTATTTATGTTTTCTATTATTTTGGTAAAGATTGAAGAGTATTTTAGTAATGAATACTTATTTTTGTATTTTCCCATCTTTTTAAAAATTTTCTAAACTACGTCCATCACAAACTCATTTATTAAATTCTATTTTTTTTTGCTATTTTTAACCGCAATTAGTTGTGTTTTTTTAAATTTTACTTTGAGTATATTTTTTGTATTTTTTTTTGTTTTTAATATTTTTAGGTGTTATAGTACTCGATCCTACTCGAGCAGAGTTACTCATACTCGAGCGAGTACGTGGCTGGATGATGGGCTAAGTAGTCGGCCTGAGTCGACTTTTCCATCATTGATAGGAGGAATGGTTCTCTAATCTTAGCCTATCAAGACAAGTATCACCACAATTATAATTTTGTACGGCATAAACGGATTTTTTTGGGTAGTGAGAATCGATGTGGTGACTTATGGTTTGACTTGCCTAAGCTTTTTGAGAAGCTGCCCTTTATTATATACATAACAGTGAAAATTGTCATACTTGACATTTATATGTTCCTAGGAGGTTTTGAGGTCAAACAAAAAAAACAAAAAAAATGAAGATTTTTCCTTTTAACATTTTCCATATTTTGTTTGGTGCAGTATTTGTTTTATTATGAAATTGGACATTTCCATGTTTTGTAATTCTCTATTTTGTCGAATATAAAGGGGTAACACGTGAGAATGTATTTATAGCCCAATCTGGGAAGATCTCGTATGAAATCCTCGCTTATTTATGCTTTCAAATTAATAAATTAAAATCAGTGAAGAATGTGGTCTCTGTCGAATTACATGATATAAGAAAGATGAATCTACAAGAGCATAAAAACTCATACACCACTGGCCATTTTGGCTTGAGATCCAAAGAACTTTGAGAAGGATTTAAAAGAAATCAAATTAAAAAGATTTTCAAGGAAGTGAACTACAAATTAGAAGAAAAGGAAGTGCAATTTTACTTGCAAGCAGAGGTAACAGGCCCTGTAGTGTTCATACCTAGTTGAGACTTAAGCAGTTGTTCTCCTCTTTGAATCTTGATTTTCACTTGAACCAAATAATTTCTTAATCTTGGAAAGGAAATTCGATTTAGGCTTTGATATTTTCGGGATATTAAAAGTTAAACTCACGAACTCCAATAATATTATTGTTATTATTACTATTATATTAAAATATTTAAGGCAATTATAAAACATGTATCTTAACTTTTCGTTCATAAGAAAGAAATCTAATACTTTCCTAAACCTCATCTATACATTATTATTATTTTTTGATTTATTTTTTGTGTTATTTAGGCCAAAATAGCATTGATAGTAGTCATATGACCACAAAAGAATCACGGTTGATGTTTCGAGGTATCATGATACTTAAATTACCGTGATGACTATGATAAGTATCACGGCACTTCAAGAGCCGTAATAATCTTCAATTCTATAATAACACCCGAAATACTGTCTGGTGTGTCAATAAAAAAAGTCTAATGTGAAGGTAAAGTAGCCGGTCATGGTGCTATCGTGTTCCCCTACCTTACGAGAAGCTACAAACGACACCAAATCCAGACCACAAAGTTTGGCAAGTGCAACAACAAGAATTCCGAACTGTTCCAAAACTAAACTTTGGGTTGAATCCTAAGAACGGCAAAGTCAGTATACAACATCTCAATAACAGAACAAATTCTTAGATGCATGAAATATCTGGATATTATTGATTAAGATCTGGAGCTAAAGTTTTCGGCAAGAGCCGAAGAGCATGGAACAATTGTCCTAGCTTCCTGAATACTTAAAATATCAACAAATTTGATATTAATTAGATGGACACGGTGAGCATGCGGCCAAGCCCACTCACGTAGAAATACGAGCCCCTTAATAAATTTATTTTTGAAATAGAATTCGGTTTAATTTTTAGAAAATATATAATATTTAACATGGAGATCATGAATATGAAAAGAACTAATAATTTTTGAGAACTAAAAATAATGATTCTATTAAGAAAATATTTGGATTGTTAGTTTCAATTGTTTTTAGATGAACCACCTAGTTGCATCCATCTTTAAGATAGATGCTTCATTCCTTCGGACCGCATATTGTACAAATGTAGTCCAGCCTACATGAAACAATTGTTCTAATTAGAGTCACCTTTGTTCCATATATCAATGGAAATTGTATTCTTGCAGATGACATAAATTTCTCAAATGGGATAATTTTAAAACCTGCGAGATTGCACATAAATAGCTTTGCACTTGCTTACCTAGCATTCCATCAAATCAAGAAATCTTTCAGAATAGCTAATATCATACAAGGTATCAGAAACAACTAGTAGTGGAATAGAGAGTAAATAACATGAGTAAAAGAACTAATGCAATGGTTACAATTGGATTAGAAGGTAAATTGAATCAATTATTTCACAGTCCTTTGCTTCATCAGAAGTTTAGAGCAAGAAAACCATCATCCTTTTTCACAAAAAAATATCCATCTTTTCTCCAACAAAAAAATTAATAAAAATTAGCTAGTTTCATTGCAATATCAGCTTAAGTCCAATTCTTTGAAGACAATTACCATATTTTGGATGCTGTTAAAGAATTGAAAACCATCACGATACTTTAAGTGCTGCAATACTTCTCATAGTCATCACAGTAGTTTAAGTATCGTAATACCTCAAAACATAAAGACACATGACACTAAGTCTACTGTGATTCCTTCGTAGTAATACGCTACCATGAAGACTATTTTGGTTCAAATAACACAAAAAGTGGAAAAAAAAAAAAAAACTTATAGATGAGGTTTAGGAAAGTATGAGGTTTTTTTATAGGGTGCTGTTTGTATAGAGCCAAGGCTCTAAACAACCAAAGTAAAGCGCACCTTCAAATAGTATCGAGAAATATGTTTTCAATACTGGAAATCTTTGTGATAGCCTTAAAATATATTTTTATATTTAATTATAAAATTTAAAGCTTCAAAAATAGTGTAGATCAAGCAGATATATGAAAACTAGAAAATCTTGAAAATTGACGGTTCAAAAATACGTTACACGATACACCATTTTCAAAACTTGAAATCCATTTTTTTTCCCATGTCCATGCATCTTGATGACGAGATGATCAATTTTAGGGTAGTTGGGCATCAAAACAACTTCTTCTAATGAAATTTTCGACGTGGGCTCTAATTTGATTGTTTAGAGCCTCGTAACGTTTTCCTTTTTTCTATTAAACCAAAAGGAGGTAAATTTTTAATAATTTTTTAAATATTTATTATTGAAATAGTGATCATTTAAATATATTTTTACCATAATATTAATATCAATATTATATTATGTTATTTTTGAAATATTTATATTTTATTACGTTATTTTAATATTATAATATTATATTAAGGGTATGGTTTCTATTAGGTTGCAACCTTCAACAATCCAATTAAAGCACACCTCCAAATTTTATCATAACATATAATTTTCGTGAAAATTTTTTTAGGATTATCTCAAAATCTATTTTCATATCTAATTATAAAATTTCAAACCCAAAAAAAGGTTAAAATCAAGTAGATCTATAAATATATAAAAATCTTGAAAATAGACGGTTTAGATAATGTATTGCAAGATGCACTGTTTTTGGGATTCAAAATCTTTCTTTTCTTTCTTATTCATACATCTCGATGTCGATATGATCAATTAGAGGTTTTTTCAACATTTAAACAACATTTTCAATGGTTTTTTGAGGTGCATATGTAATTTTACATTTTAAGGTTGCAACCTTATAAATTGTTTGGGAGAAATTACAAATAAACCTTAGGAAAAGACTTCTTATGTAACTTAAACCCAACCAACCCTTTTTTCTCACTTTTTACGCCAAATTGAACTTTCTTAATAAATACCTCCCAAATCATGAAAAAGATAAACTGAAGATCAAAATACACTATGGAAAGCATGCAGTCCAGCACAAAATGGTGGCGGTTCGACACTTTACTTCTAGAAAGCATGCCATCAAGGGCGGTTTGGCACTTTGGGCATAGAGTTTGGCACAAAATGGGGGTGGTTTGGCACTTTGGGCATGGGGTCTGACACGAAATAAGGAAGGTTCGACACCTTAAACATGTGATCCGACACAAAATGGGGACGATTCGGCACTATAGGCATGTTCGTTAAAAAAATGACTTTTTTGACCGTAGAAAAGTTACATTTTTTGTAAAAATTGCTAAAAAAAAGTTTATTGGGAAGTTATATTGTAAATTTTCCTAAACTTTTTCCATATTAATATTAATATTAATATTAATCGGGAGAGACAGTGTGTGTAGTTGGCGTGTGATTCACTCATGCATGCGTCCTCGTGCACGTGCTAGTACGGCACACATCTCTCATGCACGTGCCTAGAACGGCATCTGCCTCCCGATACTACGTGTCTTTTCGAAAGGGTTGCTGAGTCACGTCTGCTAAAAAAAACCCGAAGGCCCTGCATCTCTTTCTTGCACTTGAAGCTCATGGTTCAGTTCACTTGCACCATGAAACCAAGACCCCCAATCTTATGCACGCCATCATAACTGTAAAGTGAAAGGAAAGAAAAGGAAATTCAGCATTGAATCAGAGGTATTTCTCCCCTTTCCCCATCTGCCCTCTTCTGCTCTTTCTCTCTCTACGAATAGGCTCGCAGTTTTCTTCTGAATGATCCTGGTTTTGGTTTTTACTTGTAATAAACAATGTAGGCTTGTTTTAGAGTCTCTCTCCAATGGTTTATAGTTTTCTTTTTATTGGGCATTTTGCTTGATGTGATTTTTGTCTGTTTTTCTACTTTTCACAGTAACTGTGATGGTCTCTTTATAAAACATAATGCTTTCATGAATTTATAAAAATGGGTATCTAGGCTTATAGGTTAAGATCTCATTTTTCTCATACAGAGTCCTTTTTATGATGAAGTACGCTTTTTTTTCTTTCATATCTTTATGATTCCTGAAACCATTTTTTTTTTTTTGTGTGTGAGATTTGGGTTAATGGGTTATGATGCTGGATTTATGAAGTTTTCATTGTATAGTTCTGATTTTTCTTACATGGTAAATATTCTTTAATTTCTCTTGAACTGTGATTAGAGTACATGATCTTTGAAATTGGTTGTTTGAATTAATGAATCAGAATACCAATTTTCTTCTGAACAATCCTATTTTAAATCGACAATCTGTAATTATCTGTTCAATAAGTTATGTTTTTGTGAATTTTATGGACGGGTCTTCAGTTCCAGAATTTAATTGCATTTCCATTTGAATAGAATAACAAAACAATAGCGTTTTGTCTATAGTAAGGAATAACCATGTGCTAGTTCTCTTTGAACCTTGTGATCTGGTTGGGTCCGGACATATTTTGAACTGGGAATTTGGATCAAATTATGCGAATGAGCTGAGTATCAAGTTTTGAGAATAGACCTAGAGCAAGGGATTAAGGGGGAGTATCCTGTATAAATGGGATGCATTTGACAATCATAGAGAGTGGAAGAATTACAAGAAGACGAGGCAGTAGGCATTATAGAGTATTTTGTCGATTGGCAAGGGTGAATGATTATTTAACATGACACTTGTTGAGATGACTGGGATATCTTTTACTAGAATTTTGAGTTTGATGCCTTGAACTAAATCGTGAAAAGAATGAGGATGAACATAACAAGTCCATCCACAAGACTGGCGATTGACAAAGAATCATCTAATTTATGCACTGAAGGTGGACTGATGCATTAGAAAATCTCCCGACTCATGAATAAACACATGTGGAATTCTTTTAAATTTTGTATATTAGAACTGAGGAGATGCCGTAAGGTGGACGCTGGTTGTTACATATGTTGCCTTAGGGGTTGATGGTGGTTGTTGAATATAGATTTGAAGGCCATTGTTTGATCTGGGGGCACTAGGGATCTCGGTCCCAGTGGATCAACACTTGCCTTGGACCAAGACTATAGGAAAACTCTCTAATAGGATGTCAAAATACTGAAGGGGGTATTGATTGCTCATGAGTCTCCAAGTTTGTGGCATTGGCATGGATGGGCATGCATTGCTTCTTTGTTAGGTGAATGAATAGAAAGACATGATCACCTTGATTTGAGATTTACGGATTAAGTTCTAGGTATTTTGGGAGTCTATAATTGCTGATGAAAATGGACATGCATGTTGTCTTTAAACTATTTGTCATCTTAATTGTTGGAGGTTGTGGGTTTTTCACATGTTTATAGGTCTGAATCAATGCCTTGGTATCTTTAACCTCTTTTTCTATCCTTTAAGCTCATAGGTTTGAGTTACTGAGTCTTCTATTTGAGGCTTTTAGCTACATGGTACGGACAATAATTTTAGATTGATTGTAGGCATTACACTTTATTCGTATGGAACCTTGGTGCAGCAAAAAAAAAAAAAAACCAAAAGGAAAAACAAAGAGAAGACACTCTTTTTCTCTCTATGATGAAATTTTATTTTATTCACTAAAAGCCATCTTTTGCAATGGGATGTACTGTAGAAACGAAAAGCAATCCACGAAAAACAAGAAAGAAGAAACAAATACAAAAAAAAGAGACAATCAACCACAATGCAAAGATATATGTGGTTCGGCAATATGCCTATGTCTATGGGAGATTAGAGCTTTTTTACTGGGAATGGAAAATAGGGTTACAATACTCTATCTTCCTCACCCTTCTCTGATTTTATCTAATTACAAGGAGATATGTGTTTTTCCCCTAACCCTTAACTTTTGGATGAACCCCCAATCGCAACGATATATATCGAGTCCCAGATAGATGATACAAATTACCGAAATACCCTTGTACGGATATATATCAAGGCCCAGATATATCGAATCTTATGTATGGATACATCCGAATTTTTTCCTTGGGGCTACCGCCCCCGAACCCCCATAGGGGCCAAGTCCATCAAGTCAACCTGTCAAGATGACTCCTCCGGCCCTCAAGCCCTACGAGCTTTTAACGACCCGCCGGAGTCGTCTTTTTGACTTCACCTCGGCAGATCTATTTCCTCAAAATACAAGACATCAATCCTCAACATGTACCCCCTTTTATTCATTCCTAAAATACCTCCTTAACCCTTCTTCGGTATAGCTAGTTGCTATCTCACATCTATACCTTTTGGAAAGGCTCCTTACAAAACACTCAATAAAAAAAGGAAACAGAAGTACTTATCAAAACGAACTAATCCTTCCTAAAAGATTGACTTGATAATGGTAAAATACAACGTACTCTTTTATCCTTAACAAACCCTTTAATAAAAGAAAGAATTCACTCTCTAAAAAAAAAAAAATGGACTTACCAAAGATAAGGATAAGCCTCCCTAACAAAATAGAAGATACTCTAAAACAAAAGACAAGCTTTCTTGAAAACCAATGCGTAACAATAACTCCAAAAAATAAATATAATTCCTAAAAAATAACCCAAAAATCTACCCACATTGCTGAAAATAAAATAATAAAAATAAAAATAAAAATAAAATTTTGCATCAACCCATTTTTGATTTGCATCACTCTCCCCTGGTTGGTGAAAACTCGCCCTCAAGTTTTGAAATGAGCTATGAGGAATTTTGTGGTAAACCCCATGATCTTCTTCAACCTTGAAGGCCTTGCCACGATCCTTAGAACAATGTTCAAACTTTTCTATCTCTAGATACAAAACCACTTGATAGGATATGTGTTCATCATCAATCTTTTTATCAGTGAAATACGATGCACCTTCACCATCAACGTCAATACGTTTTTTGTAATTCTTTATCGCATTCTCAAAATCCTCTTATGTTGTATTTCTAGCTTCCTTGCTTTGTGCCTCCTTCATCACCTCATTTCTTTCTTCCTCTAAAATCTCCATAGGTTTGATCACCGCTGGGTTTGGGTCGACATCTTCTTATCCATCTCTCCATTGATGAGAAAGTTCGATATCCTCCTTGCTGCCTCAAGGTTAACTTGTTTCCTTTCATCTTGTCCTTCATCAAATATGGGTCACCCATGACATCAAGAAATGATAATTCTAATTGAAGATCCAAACATACTTGTTCTTCAGCTTCAATTGGTTCTTCATCAAAATTAGGTAGGTCAACTTTAATGTAGGGTGAGACTATACCCTCTTTGTTTTTCTGCAATGGAGTCCACTTCCAAAAAGATCTTTCCAAAAGACCCAAAGAAATAGTTTTTCTTCTCCATCTTTTCCTTGTCTAGCACTTACATATTTATAAAAAAAAAAACTTAAAATCCTATCTTGTTTAATAATAATAAGAGACCCTAATCACTATTAAATTTTAGCCCTTCATCTTTTCAAAATCAAATATTTAGCTCTACCCTCCAATTCTCTACAATAAAAAAGGACATAAATACCCTTAAAAAATAAAATCCCAAATATCCCCAAAATTAATTTTTTTTGTTGAATCTTTTATTACCTAATTTCGATATCCTAAGAACAAAGTAAGAAAAAATCGAAAAACTTAGCTGCATCATTTTCCCTGGGTTGGGAGAAACTTGACCTCGAGCTTGTGGACTCAAAAGTTGAATTAAAGACTATTCCTTCGTAATCATTTAGGTAAGTTTATGTTCGTCCTTCTCTTTGGGCATTCATAGGCATGGTGCTTGTTGCATTACACCGATAACAAGTAACCTTTGAGTAACACACTTGAATTTATTTCTTCTTTTCGTCATTAAATATTCGGTGGTGGGAAACCTTTTTCTAGGCAAGTCATCTATTAGGGCTCCATTATAATTTGGTCTCCATATCATGCAGGCAACATGCATAATTTTATTTTTTTCTTGGGGTAGAGAGCACAAATGAGGAACCTGGAGTAAGGACAATTTGAAGGTAGAAGGGGTGGATTACTGGACTTTGTAGTACATCTAAGATGTTGGGGGCTTTGCACCTGATAGTAAGGAATGCAGGATTTTCAAATTGATACTTGTTTTAGGATTGTCATTTACATTGACACTTCTGTTAGAAGCACACAAAAACTAACCATTTAGGTAATGACGTGCACTTTATGTGGTATGTTTTCATTTATTTAAATTACAAAAGAGAAAGACACTGTTTCCTTTTCACTTTCATGAAAAAGACTAGGCAATTAGGAGAATATGTGTATGGGTTGGACTGGGCAGTTGTCAAATTTTATATTTATCAGGAAATAAAATGAGAACGGAACGATTAAAAACTAACAAGTATGATTAGTAGTTTTCACTATTATTTCATCCTTGTACCTAGTCATACTGAGCTCTTCATCTCAACCTCTACTGGTTTGAGTTCAAATCCAATTCATGCTTTAAAAGATTCAATATCTTTAATTTTCTTTTTGCTGTTAGAAGCAGAGGATCAGTTAGATGCATATTATTATTTTATAGGGTGTTATTTGATAATGAACTTTATTTATGTTTGATTTGCAGATTTATCTTCTCTATGTTGCAGCAAGTAAATTCCATTGCGTGAACAAAATATACAGAGAAAGAGTTCTGCTGTTTTGATCCATATGGACGGGCATTATGGTTATATTTTTGGGCATTTTTTCTTAGTGATAATCCATAGAGGTTGTCATTCTGTCTGTGCATCATACTGCACTGGAAGAGAAGCGATGAATTATGCTGTTTTAATCATGGTACCTGAAATGCCATGTCTTGAAGCTCTGATATGAGTCTATTGCACACTGGGCTTTGGATTACCCTTGACAAATAAGAACTGTAATTTTTAGGAAGACAGACCCTTCTTCTTATATAGTCCAACAGAGCTATAAATAGTTTTATACACACGATCAAATGGGAAAACCACTTCCATTACAAATAGAAGGCCATTTTCTTGTTGCAGTTATATGTGCCAATCGGTCCTTTTGATTGTGCTGCTTTTTGGCTTAGAAACAAGTGTTACTTGGTATATACTTAAGCTTGCAGATTTTGAAGAGTGCGATTCCAAACTTGTAGCTCATCTAATAACGTGTTTGTTTTTACCAAAGGAGATATCTGGATTCACACTTTTCCGAAATAAAGGAAGAAAAAAGGAGATATCTGGATTCACACTATTTTAAATAATAGAAAAGAGAGACTATCTCTTGGAACATGGATGATCTTAAGAAATTTTTTATGCGTTTTCTGTCCAAGTGGCAGAATAGCTCACCAGATATGAAGGAATCCTGTTTATTGATTATGGCTTGTATTAGTGCTGCTGTTGTTGGGTTGTTGACCCTAGCCTATGTTATCAATCTATGGAGAAGAAACATCAGTCTAAGCTTGTTGAAAGCTGTTGCAAGGACAAAGAAGAACCCTAAAGCTAAGCACAAAGTTCCGGCTGCTACCCATACTTGGAATCTAGAACCTGGGCATCGTGGAAAAACCCTAAATTGTTGTGTGTGCTTGAAGTCAGTTTCCCCTCCGCAGCCTCTTGGGCCAATGATTTCCACTGATTACTTTATTCATCGATGCAATCTTTGTGGGGCTGCTGCCCATTTGGGCTGTTCACCGAATGCTCATAAAGATTGCAAATGCGTGTCTATGATAGGTTACCCCCATGTAATCCATCAATGGGCTTTGAGATGGACTGAGATTGAAGATATACCCGAGGAGAACCCTTCTTGTAGTTACTGTGAAGAACCATTTAGTGGCTCCTTTCTTGGTGGGTCACCTATATGGAGTTGTTTATGGTGTCAAAGGCTTGTACATGTGGAGTGCCATACAAGCATGTCTAGTGAGATGGGTGATATTTGTGATTTGGGTCCTTTCAAGAGGCTCATACTTTCCCCTCTCTATGTTAAGGAGTTAAGCAATAAGACTGGTACTGGTTTCTTGAGCTCGATTACACATGGAGCTAATGAGCTTGCTTCCACCGTCCGTGGGCGTATTAGAAGTCCAAGTTTTAAAAAGTTTAAGCATAGTTCCGATACTTCTCTTGATGGAGCAAGTAGCTGTGGTACTGTAGATTCATCTACAGAGAGCACTATTGATGGCCATCAAAGATTTGTGGGCTCTCATGGTGATGATGAGAAATGTAATCGGTTTATGGAAGGGGAAGCCCCAAACCAAGGAAGCCTAACAGATTCCATGGCGGAGATGATAATGAATCAGCAGAAAGATGCTTCTTCCAATAGGAATGAAGATTCTCAAACTACAGGAACAAAACACAAGTATGAATTGATTGACCTGCCTCCTGATGCCAGACCTCTTCTTGTGTTTATTAACAAAAAGAGTGGGGCTCAACGCGGAGATTCTCTTAGGCACCGTTTGAATGTTCTTCTCAATCCTATTCAGGTGAGAATTCAAGGCACCTATGAGTTTTTTATTTATATTTTTATTTCATTTTTAGATCTGTTCTTAATAATTGATAAGCCATCTATGGTTTTAGTAGTTTATATTTGAATGAAGCATCAAACAGCCACATCTGTTCCAGTAATTAGGTCACTTCACAGTGTTGAACTGATGGTTGTGGGTTTTGCAACAATAAATGATTTGTTTTTTGCCACAATCCTCTTGGGAAGAAATACTAGATCCAGTGGATCATGGAAAACCATAGTCCTTCGGGGCCATGGCCCTTTGATGGAAATGATGGATGGTGAAGGACAAGGAGTGGGACCTACCAGAATGGGACATTGCTTCAGTGGTGGTTTCACTCTTTCTCACTGTCCATCATTTAATTGGTGTTGATGACCCCCCAATAGACGATCATGTCTATAGTCCATTGGTTTGTCGTATACTTTCTCTTTTTTTTTTGGGCCAACATACATTGTTTTATGCTTGACATTTGCTGTGAATTTTCTCTATTTACTTGCTACGGCATTACTCTGTTTGTACAATATTCAACTATTTTCTGAGCTTTTTTGTGTATCATTTTACTATGAATATTTAAATTGTATCTTTTTCAACTAGTTTTTCTTGAGAATTATAGTTTTTCAGTTATTTGATGACAGAAACTAAAGCCTATTGGTTTATTGTTAAAGAAAAGAAAAGAAAACATGAATAACTTATCTGAATGTTAACTTTGATGGGTCTTCTTCAGGTCATTGAGCTGAGCTCAACCCAGGTACCCGAGGTAGGTCTAAACTTGTTTAGAGGAGTGTCACACTTCAGAGTTCTTGTTTGTGGCGGAGATGGCACAGTTGGTTGGGTGCTTGATGCCATTGACAAACAAAATTATGAATCTCCTCCTCCAGTTGCGATTCTTCCTGCTGGGACTGGTAATGATCTAGCTAGGGTCTTCTCTTGGGGAGGTGGTCTTGGTGCCATAGAGAGACAAGGTGGTCTATGCACAGTACTTCACCACATTGAGCATGCAGCAGTTACCATGCTTGATAGATGGAAAGTCACAATTGGGAAAAACCAATCGAGGCATGACAAGGATCAGACCACAAAATATATGAACAACTATCTAGGTATACCATCAGCCACTCTTTTTCCTCTTACTATTAGTCAAGGCTTGAAATTTTGAATTTTGTCCAAGGTACAGAATGAAGCTTATGTTAAATTATCTCTATCGGAGTGCCCCATAAGGATGAGGGAAAAAATTTATGAGTTCAACTGAATTTCGCACAAAGTTAGTCCAGATACCAGGAAGAAGCATCATCTTTAATTAGAAATTGCACTTTTAAATTGATTTTGGCTATAACAATGGGTATTGGGATATCTTCTGTTATGTCATTTTGGGTTTTGGTCGTGGGGCAACACTTACCAAGAATCTACAGTTTTTTTCTTTTTTTAAGCGAGAAACTGACACAAAATAAACAGGAATTGGGTGTGACGCAAAGGTTGCTTTGGACATTCACCTTCTGAGGGAAGAAAACCCAGATAAGTTCTACAATCAGGTATGAACTACTCTTTTATGATGATTCTGTATCTTATGCATGGGGTTAACACTAACTTAGCAATAATAACCTAGAACAAGAGTGAAACATGGCATCACATTTGGGGAGATGTACTCAACTAAATTTAATTACCAAACTTTGAGAATCTCCCTTAATAGTGTTGAATTTATTATCACACATCGGCCTTCAATTGATTCTATCCATTCTATAGTATCCTCCATAGAGATCCTGTAAACTGGGTCATTCGGCCGATATTCATGCAAAAAGCACTATAACCCATCCTCCATGAAATGGAGAATGATAGAACCTCAAAAACTATGAACCAGAATGTCTTGCTTGCATAAGATCATATTACAAGGCTGCTCCTATCTCGGCATATGGATGGGAACCATGCTTAAAAAGTTGGTCTGATTCAATGTGAGTTGCCTGGCTCAATTCAAGTCAGGGGGTTTACGACTTGAAAACAGTGACATGACTTTTTTACTGTTTTCTGATTTTGCTGTTGTATCTTTCAACTGTTCATGCCTATAAAATACCATAATCTTGTTTTAAATATGGGATTGGCATTTATGGCATTGACATTTTCAGCATATCAATGCATATTTAGCAAGAAAAATGTATTAACATCGTTTCTTATCATTGTTGTTCTTTAGTTTTCAACAGTGATTATCTATTTCATTGGAATGTACTGGTTGAAAATTTCAATTTCTTTTTGAAGTGTGATTGATTTAGCGGCATTATAGATGAGAAACTTAGCTGAAAGTAGTGCTACCTATTTGCAGTTTCTAAATAAAATGCTATATGCAAGAGAAGGTGCTAAGAGCATCATGGACAGGACATTTGCTGACTTACCATGGCAGATCCGGGTAGAGGTTGATGGTGTTGAGATTGAGGTTCCTGAGGTGTGCCCATGTATTCTCTTTCTCTCCCCCCTCTCTCTCTCTCTCTCTCTCTCTCTCTCTCTCTCTCTCTTACGTT